TTGTGTAACAGATCTACAAATGATGTGACGGTTCCCCCTGTTCGATAAGCTTATTTCAACTCTATCAGCACGTGCTTTATTTTACGATCTGATCGATTACTTGTAACTTCCCCGAGATCGCCACCAAAATTTTACATGCACGTGATTACAGTATGGCGAAACCAATTATATCTTCAAGATCGGATGTAACATAACGCCATCAGGAAAATTCGAAACAAACGTTCGTTTTGTCAAAAATCGCCTTTTTCTCAAAAAACTGCATATGAAACCACCTTTTGTGCTCTAACAAAAAGTTTTCCTTGAGCGATTTTACTATAAAGTATCCTAATTTCTAGACGTAATATAAACAACATAAACAAATTTTAAAGAATTTGTCGGTACGTCGCACATGATCACGTGCTGATGACAATCTAATCTAGGGGAAGAGGATTAGTTGGCTGTTGTACCTCAAATAATTTATAACTCATGGAAGTCCTAGAAAAAAACGAGATGTCGTCTAAGCATGTAACTCCGTCGGAGAAAATGTTTGCCGCCTGTTGTGGTGCTTTGCTGACTTCCCTTTTCAGTATGTCTTTAAATTTCTTCTATATAGTAGCTTTTAAATTTTTTGGTTTATTGAATTTTTCTATGTTACAATATTAAGCGACTCCCTTCGATCTTGTCAAAACTCGATTACAATCCCAGAGTCTTTTCAAAGGTTCGATCCTTCCTTCATGTTGTTAGTAAGTATTGTATTCCACCCAAAATATGCACCGGGAGTTCTTTTGTCATTTAGATCCACGCATACAAAATCAATCAACACTAAGTTGCGCCATTACAGATACTATGATACCTAGTAAAATTGCTGCCAGACAGCAACTCAATGAGTTTAATGGCTTTTTGGTAAGCATCATTTTATCACAATCCATAGATAATAGATTTTACAGTTCACTTATAAACCATTACTCGCCAATATTTTATTAATATTCATATTCATCGATATTCATTAATATTATTAATATTACCGAATTTTTATTAATATTCATTAATATTATTAATATTACCGGATGTTCATCAAAATTCATTAATGTTCATTAATATTCTTTTATTCATTAATATTTATCATTAATGTTCATTAATATTCGATAGGATGGCATGACTAAAATCGTTCGTTACGAGGGAATTACATCATTATGGCGAGGACTTTCACCTGGATTGTCAGTTTACTTGTCATTTCTATGAGTCTTCATTGGTTCTCACTAATCTTTTTTTTTTTTTCTTATAGAGCAATGTCTGTTCCCTTGACAGTGGTATATTTTGTTGGATATGATTCCATTAGAGATTCATTATGGAAACATTGGAAAGGGAAATACTCAGAAACATACTCACCGTTATTGGCAGGCACCCTTGCAAGGAGTAAGTTTATTATAAAAAATTTTTGCAAGTTCTACTTTTTTTTCATTTCTTTAATTAATGAATGATTTTTTATGTTTTAGCAATTTCGGTCACAATAATATCACCAATAGAATTACTTAGAACCAGGATGCAAAGTCCAGAAGGTGTAAATGGTTTAAAAGATGTCATGAATGGTGTACAAAGTATGGTCAGAAAAAATGGCATTTCATCGTTATGGCGAGGTTTAGAACCTACACTATGGAGAGATGTCCCATTTTCAGGTATATATTTACTTGTAAACTTTTTTTATAATACTTTAGAATCTATACAATTTAACTTTTCCATACATACAATTCAACTTTTATTTTAGCCATATACTGGACAGGTTATGAATCAATAAAAAGAAATTTTAGTAATCATCTTCGAAACAAAAGTATCGATGGAAATATAAATAATTTTTCAGTCGCCTTTGTGAGTGGCGCTACTTCTGGCATGGTTAGTAATTTCATCATTATTCTAGATTTCTATTCTAGATTTTGTAGTCGTATATATATTGATATATCATTATTATTTTTTAGATTGCTGCAACATTAACAACTCCTTTTGATGTGGCAAAAACTCGACGACAAGTTGCTTCGAGTTCAAGTATGTAAATTTATAATTTTATGCGACAATTCTTTTGAAATCATGGTAATTGAAATTTCTTTTTATTTAGTGAAAAGTCCGAGTATGGTTGAAATGATGCAAAGAATAGTTCACGAGGAAGGATATCAAGGGTTATTTAGAGGTGTGTTAAATTATTAAAATATAATTAAAATATAGGTGACGCCAGGTGAAAAATCAGAAATTTCTGAATTTAGAATTCCTTATTTTCACTTTGCGTCACTCATATTATTAAAATATATTCTTTAAATTATTAAAATATTAAAATATATTTTAAACATAATTAATTTCATAGGCGGAAGTCTGCGAATAGCCAAAGTTGCAGTAAGCTGTGCCCTCATGATATCGACTTATGAATCACTGTCCAAGATTTTTTAGCAATGTAAATATAATTGCACGCTAGGAAGTTTATAATAAAATTTTATAATAAAGTTTTATGAGTGATAAATGATTTATATAAATGATTTATGAAGACATTTTGTCTTTAATGCACTATATTATTAAAAGTAAAATTACGATTGGTTAATATTTTGATATGCATAACATGTGATGTGATTACGAATCAGTGTTCACGCAATCTTACATATCTGATATAAAACAGCCTCCTCAGCCGTCATTTTCAGTTATCTTGAAAGATCGCACGTGCATGTTAACATAATGACAAACAAGGTAGAAATACCAAAAGGTGGTTTCTCTTTCGAAAACTACCGTAGGTTTGTGTGGCAAATATAATTTAAAAATTTTTTGAAATTGATTAAAAAAATGAATATAACGATCTTGCATTTTTCTGTTGTAGAAATGTCTTCCTCGAAAAACAAGGACTTACTTTACCCAAAGCGACCAAAACAGGAACCACAATTGTCGGGCTAATTTTCAAGGTTATTATTGAACATCAATTATAATACTTTTTGATAGTTTGATCTTATATAAATTTTCAGCATTAGCATTTTCTTATTCTTGATGCATTCATTTCTTTAGGATGGTGTTATACTTGCTGCTGATACGCGTTCAACTAATGGACCAATTGTAGCAAATAAGAATTGTGAAAAGCTTCATTACCTTGCACCAAATATGTATTGCGCTGGTGCCGGTACGGCAGCTGATACTGAACAATCTACTGCTTTGATCAGTTCTCAATTGGAATTACATCGATTGACAACTGGAAGGACTGCCCGAGTTGTGACAGCAGTGACAATGTTGAAACAAATGCTTTTTAAGTATGTTTCATGTGATATATAAGATATATGAAATATGATGTAATTTTTTCTATCCTCTTTATTATATGATATTATTAACATTAAATATGCAAATATGTAGATATCAAGGTCATATTGGTGCAGCGTTGATAGTTGGTGGCTACGATGTATCTGGACCTGGTCTGTTCACCATACATCCTCATGGAAGCACGGAAAAATTACCATACGTGTCCATGGGAAGTGGTTCATTGGCTGCAATGTCTATACTTGAAAGTAGATTTACCAAGAATTTGGAGGTTTGATTTCTTTTTTTTTTTTTTTTTGTTTTGCAACTTTTTATATTATATGCATACATGTATACATACATATATATATAATAACTATAGATAACATTATATATATATAACATTATATAAAATTATTATATTGGGTATTAGCGGGATGAAGCCATTGAATTAGCCAAAGACGCTATTGAAGCTGGTATTTTTAATGATCTTGGATCCGGTTCGAATGTAGATATTAATGTAATCGTAAAAGATAAAGTAGATATCTTAAGAAATTATTCTAAACCTAATGAACGAGCACAAAAAGAACAATCTTATAAATATAAGAGAGGAGCAACCGGTAAATTTTATATTTTCTATTAAACGTTTTATTAAATTTTTATTAAATTTTTTTATTAAATTTTTTTATATTAATTTTTTTTATTGAAATTTTATTATAGCGTATCTCAAGGAGTATATTAGGGAGTTTATTGTTACAGAAGGTGATGCGATGGATATTTCGTAAATCGGGATGGAATCGGCTTGATCCAACTCGGCTTGGCTCAAAAAACCAAGTCGAGCCGGTTCAAGTAAGTTGGCAACATTATTTACAGCTGTTTTCGAAGTATTTTTCGGCTGATATAATAAAAGTTATTTTTGTATTATTAATGATTGTTTGACAGATCGTTATAACAATAATATCAATGTTATCAAATTTTTTCGTTTGAATGCTTGTCTGACATATTTGATGTGTTTAGTATGTGCGTTCTTGTTAACTAATAAATCTTGACAAGAAATATAAAAGTGGCTCCAATATAAAATAAATTTTTCTAACATATTACACGAATAGATGCTAATGTTAAACATATTTTATATCAATCGTGTTTACATAATAAACATAGTTTTTCTAAAAGCGACGGAAAATTTTCAATATATCCATATCATTGAAAGTGCTTGAAAACCCGATTTGTCAAATTTTTTTTAACCTGACAAATCTTCTAAAACTTTTTTCATTATTTGCTAGCGAAGATGTTTGAAATTATCATATTTCTGTCTTCAACCAGGTAGGGATGTTAATTTACAAGTCCGATCCGGTCCGGTCCTAGGACTTTCTACGAGGACTCAAATCCTTATCACATGACAACATAATACATATACATTTATATAGATCGTCCAATCAATTATTGTTAAATAATTCGATCCAGGATCTAAATCCTATACAAATGTCGACTCCTAAATTACGCAGAGAAATTATAGCAGATCCGGATCAGATTCCAAAATTCGGTCTATACTATACTGATCTGCTCGCCCATACTATACTGATCTGTGTAATTTAGAGTATAACGATAATATAGGATTAGCGTTAGGGCTAGTAATTATAGCTGATCAGTATAGATTTTAATTTCAGCCTATACTTAGGGTTGTCAAATTACCGTAATTTATGTGAAATTTTGCGTAAATTTTCAGTAACATGTAATTTGTAAGAAACGTGATCATATGCTCATATGATTGGTTGGATCATATGTACATCGATTTGGTCAGTGAACTTTATGCAGAATCTACTGTAGTTCAATAATGAAATGTAAAATTGTAATTTTTGTAATACAACCCTACCTATACTATACTGATCTACTATAATTTCAACCACTAATACTTCTAACATTAAAACGTAAATAGGCTTGGATCATTTAATGATCGATAACTCAAGCGTCATTAAGTATACACCTAACTCTTAGCAAATATACATTCATTTTCTTCTGATCCTTCCCTACTATTGTCCGTATTTATTTATTTTTATGTATTTTTTTCATTAGCATTAACTTAGTCAATAGCGAGCATTCTAAATTTATGTATTGAAAGCAAGTGTCTTTTTATTTATGTTAATTAGATGAATATAATGATTATATGGAAATTGGGGTATTTTTATAGTTATTTAATTTATTCTATTCCAAGCTGATCTAATAGATAGGTATCAATTGAAGTATTTTAAATCAAATTATTAAAATGAAATCTTGAAACCGTTAAATAAAAGTATTTGAGTATTTCAAGTCTATATAGTATTAGTTGACTTAAGCATCTTAATCAATTAAGTAATGAACATGATGACACTCAAGCATCACGATTAATGACGATATTTATAGAATTAAATGCTTGAGTATACTCTTTTTCTATTTTTCGTGATCTGTGTTATGCCACCTAAAATACCTTAAAAAAATTTCTACTCAATTGGTTGCCGAAACTTTAACTTTGATTGCATTACTTGTACAAATAGTAGTATTTCTATACCTCATGTAGTTACTATTTTTAAAATTACTAATAAAGATATGAGCAAGGCCTTACCTTAATACCAAAAAAAAAAAAAACTATAAATTATATATATATTTACTACTTTTCTTATTATTTCAACTTTGATAACAAGATTTATCTTTTAAACAAATATTTATATTTTTTAATACAAATAAAAACTTATTTATATAGTCTGTTAACTAACTTTTCAAGCAAATATTCTACATGTTTGCTATAAAATATTGATATTTTTTTTTCCTTTAGCAATCCTGTTTACTTTATTATAGGAACAGATTTTCATCCTTACATGGCATAAGAAATCTAAATCTATAAGTGTTTCGACCAAAATGTAAATTCACCCATGGTGTACCTTACAGATGCCGTAACATCTACTTGCAGTCAGGGTGAATTATTAAACCGCTGTGTTTTGCCTAGATGTGACCTGCCTAGCAACACTTGGCCTCCTTCAGAGATCCGAAACTCACTTTAAACTTATTTTCTCCAGATTCCTCAGCTGGCTGTTGCTCACCTTGTCAAGATTTCTGCCCTACAATAGAATGTTGCCAAACTGATGACACTTTTTGTAGGAAAGGAAAAAAGAAAAAAAAAGATAATGAAAAACGAAAAAAGAGGTAGAAATAAAACTAATACATCAAAGAAAACAGATACTAATACTAAGGAATATAAAAAAAACTAAACTAAAATCTAAAAAAAATTATCGTTAAAAAGAAGAAAACCTGCTAATCTTCTAATTATACAGAGTCACAATCTACTATTAAGTGCAAGAGTCTTGACAAGAAATATAAAACTAAAATAAAATGCACTATAACTCATGCCAGAGGCTAAAAATTATATACAGGTAACTAGAGGATGTCTGTATATCTCATTTCACTTTACTTTACTCTTTCAATTAAATCTATATCTTTATCTGAAAGTATAAAAATTTTGGAATCTCTACATGCTCTATCTAATGATCATATATTTATATGTTCTTAACAATACAACATGTAAGATATTTTTTCAAACACTCATCCAGTTACTAAATTCACCAACACCATCTATTTTACATGTATTGTTTGTTATCATGCAGATTTTTCTGATATAGAAGTGATAAACATTGCCAATCTTTTAGAGACGATAAGTCGAATTCTCCACTTTTTGTCAAAAATTATAGCCAAAAATATTGAAAAGAGAAAAATACCGTATTTAAGAGAGCTTAAGACAAAGAATGTATTTCTAGTTGTTCATCATAGAACTAAAAAGCTTTAGACACTTGAGTCAGGAGTTTTTTACCACTACTGTTACCAAAATAGCCCTTTTGGCTTAGATGCTAAACATACAAGGGAGTTCATCAAGAAGAAAAGCTTGATCCAAAGTACAAACCAACTATATACACCCTGCTTCTCGATGTTTCATGTATATTTCTTCATTGACAACAGTACCAATAAGGAACCTCAGATATCTTCAGACTTTTTAGAACCTTGAATCTTCAAACTATTTTGATGCAATCTTGGTTCAAGTGATCATTAGAAAGAGTTGATCACTCTAAATATGGTTAGTTGTTAAAATATTAATTAGCTAAAAATATTTAATATTAATATTATATAATATATTATAGTATATATAGTATTAAATTATAAATATAATTTAATAAATATTTACCTCTTTTAATTTAAAAGCTCTATTTATTATATAATAAGTAGAATTTTATCTAGTTTTTATATCTATTATTAATTCAAGTTTATTTGAATTAAATTTCATAAATTTTTTTTTTTCTTTGAGGTGTTGAACAAGCAAATATAATAATTTTTTGAAGCTATTTTTATAAAAAATATTAAAATTTATTTTAATAATAATATTTATTAATTTGTTTACCTTATTAATTGCTGTTATTGAATAAATATTATCATTTTGGTTTAATAAATCTTCTTCTTGATCTGGACCTTTAGCTTTAAGATTTTTTAAATTATCTTGAACAGCAAGATTAATAATATGTCCAAGGCATCTAATTCTATAATTTTCTTCATCAAATATTACTTGTTCTTCTTGATATAAATTAGCAAAATATTCAAATATTTTATTATTATTAGAAGCATTATCAGTTGTAATTGCTAATATTTATATAATATAATAAATAAAAATTTATTAATAAATTAAAATTAAAAAAACAAAAATAAATTAGTGACCTGTCGCACAGCGACCTTATATGATTGGCCAATCATTTTTGAAATTGCTGATTGTATATAAATAATTAATAATCACTTTTGTTTTTTTTTGCCTTTTATTTTTTTGCTTTGCTTAACTTCAAAATTAGCTATATATGTGCTTTTAATTTTATTTTTTTTATATATTATTAAAAGTTAATATTTATTGTCTATTTGCTTACAATTATTTTTTTTATTTTTCTTTCGCTGTTTTTTTGTATTTTTCTTCACTTTTTTCTTTACTTTTTTTGCCTTTCTTCAGAATTAGGTACATGCTTTTAATTTTTTTTTATTTATTAAAAGTTAATATTTCTTTTGTTTATTTGCTTATGATTATTTTTTTATTCTTCTTTTGCTGTTTTTTTTTGTTTTTCTTCGCTTTTTTCTTTACTTTTTTGCCTTTCTTCAGGATTAGGTACGTGCTTTTAATTTTGTTATTTTATTAAAAGTTAATATTTCTTTTGTCTATTTGCTTACAATTATTTTTTTATTTTTCTTTCATTGTGTTTTTTTTATATTTTTCTTTATTTTTTGTCTTTTCTTTATTTTCTTCACTTTTTCTTATTTCTTACTCTTTATTTTCTATTTTCTGTTTTTTTTCTTTTTTTTCTTTTTTTTCTATCATCTTTTTTTCTTCTTCCTCTTTCGTTTATATTTCTTTTGCTTCTTTTTTTTTCCTTTCACTCTTTTCTTTTTTTTTGTTTTTATTAACTCTGTCTTTTCTTTTTTTCCTTTTTTTCTACTTTTTCTCTTTATTTTCTTTTTTTTTTGCCTTTTTCGTTATTTGTTCACTTTTTTTTAATTTTCTTCTCTTTTTATTCTTTTTCTGTTTTTTATTTATTTTTTTTCTTTTTTCATTTCTCTTTCTTTTTCTTTTTTGTTTTTTTTATTATTATTTTTTCTTGCTTTTTTTCATTTTTTTTTGTTTTATTCTTTTTTCTTTAATTCTTCTCTTCTTTCATTTACATACCTTTTTTTTATTTCATTTTCTTTTCTTTATTCATCTTTTCTTATTGCTTTTTTCTTTTTTATTTTATATTCTTTTATATTTCATTTGTTCTTTTTTCTTTTTTCGTTTTATTCCTTTCTTGTCTCTCCTTTTTTTTATTATTTTCTTGTATTTTTTTTTATCTCTCTTTTTTCTTTTATCTTCTCTTTCTTATATCATCATGTTTTTTATCTTCTCTTTCTTTCTTCTTTCATTTTGTATCTTTTTTTTTATATTTTTTTTTTTTCTTTCTTTTTTTTCATCTTTTTTTTTCAGAAGGTTTTTTTTTCTTTCACTTTTGTTTGTTTTTTTTGTTTTATTTTATCTTACCTGAACTAACATTTTTTTCTTTTGTTTGGGTGTAATTCGTCATTGAAGTCATTATCATTAGAGTCATTGTCTTTAGAGTCATTGTCGTTAGCTTCTTATTAGCAATATTTATCATTGAAGCCTTCATTATGATGTTATTGTGCTAGTATTTTTTTAAACAAAGCAGGTAGATGAGTAGGTTTTGAATAAATAAATATAGTGGGTGGATGGATAGGTTTTTTTAATAATATATAATTATTGTAAAAAGTTTTTTAAATAAAAAAATTTTTTTTAAGTTAAATTATATGATTACATGATCATCTGTAATTGGTCAATTGTGAGATCATCATAAAATAACACCTATTAAAAAAAATAATAAAATAAATCTTATTTAAAATATTATAATTTGTTAATATTGCAAATATAATATTAGTAATATTTCTCCTGAATGTGTGTCTTCTAATTTGATAAATTCAATTGTCATTTAATTTAATTTTCAATTTTCATCAATTCAATGAGCAGTAATGCTTAGGAATGAATCTTGAACTAAAGAAGACCAAATATCAAGTGCTAAAGAAATTTTACAAGATAAATTCTAAAAAAAATTAAAATTAATTATAGTATTAAATAATTAAATAAACTAAAATTAAAATATACCTGTAATTCATTTTTAATTTTATCATATTCAGTTTCATATGCTAACATAATTTTATTTTTAATTATATCAGCTGAAAATAATTTTGCTTCATCACTAATATAATTAATTATATCTTTAAATTCATCTTCTTCAATAATTGTAAAAGGATGATCATGTTTTACTGTCTATTTAATTATTTTGTTTATAAATTCTTCTTTTTTATAATTCTATAAAAAAAATAAAATAAATTATTAATAAAATAAAATTATTTAATACTATATTCAAATTTTATATTTTTATATTTTTTAGCTT